TTCACAGTTCCTCTAGCCTTGTGTCTAAGTCTATGGGTCTGCGGGTCCCAGTCCCTAAGGTCTGAAATTGCTGTAGAGTGTTGTAATGCGCTATTTGTCTCCGTGTGGCATTACCTGTATGTGTGTTGGCTTGGGTGGTGGCCAGTATTGGTTCGGTGGTCATTGAGATCGGGTCATGGAGTTTCTGTGTGAGAGGGAGGCGTGTTTGTGTTATTTACATGTGTTGTCTTGGGTTTTGTGGCCCAGTGGTGTATGAGGTTGAGGTAGCGTTGTCCCCTTAATTTGGTTCAGGTGTCTCTTGTGTCCGTGTCATCTGTGTTCCCTCTGTGTCCTAAGGGGGGTGGGTGTATCTATGTGTGCCCCTATGTGTCTAATTGGTGTGCCCTGTTGGTGCGGTTGAGTGTGTGGCTGTCGTGTTGTGCCTGTCGTGTTGCAGCGGTGACAGGGTTTCGAGAGCCAGGGTGGGTAAGTTCATGTGGTTGTTCCTCTGTGGGGGCCTGCGCCCTGTTCTATTGGGGCAAAAGTGGCAGGCATAGGTCTGCTGGAGTGTGGTTGCCACGAGGGTGGGGGTGGCGTATGTTGACCCGTATCCTGGCCGGAGTGTTTGGTTTGGAGATAGGTATCTGTGTTGTTTCCCGCTTTGGGTGGATGGTTGTCCATGGAGTTGTTGATGGTTGAGCAGATGTTTGCGCTTTCATTTTTTGGACCATGGTGGGCCTACAGAGGATATCTGCTGTTCTGTTTAGTTGGACCTAAGATTGTCAGGACATCGCTGGTGTCATTCGTGAGCGTTGGGTAGTTGGGGAGTCCAGCTTGTACATGGGTCTATGGAGTGGAGGGTGGTTGTGGAGGCCTGGGTCCTAACTATCATATTAGGTTTCTCTCCGTTGATTATGGGGGTGGAGGGTGAGAGTGGCCCTCACGGCATCTAGGTGGTTGCAGGTTGAGTTAGCGTGGTTGGTGTGCCCGCAGGTTGCGAGTGAGTGTGCACGGGAACTGTGGGTGCCGGGTACCGGGTGGCGCGGCGGTGGGGCTTCTGTGGATAGGGGTGTTTCTGGGATGGGTGGTTTACCTTGTAACAGTGGTCGGTAATGAAAGTTTTTAAATGTATTTTTTTACTTTTTAAAAAAACTTTTTTTTTACTATTTTTTACTATTTTTACAGATTTAACTTTTTTTTTTTAAATTTAAAGTTTTTTTTTTTTTTAAATAGAAAGAAATGGGGGTACAGAAAGGAGAAAAAGGGGGAGGGAGGGGGTACAAAATGATCCCAGCCTCTGATCTTATCACATTGAATAACATTTTTTACATTGTTGAACAACATTTTTACATTGTTGAACATGCATGCATTGGTAATTACAGTATTGAATGTGCTTACACTGTGTATTGCAGTCAGCCAACTCGAATCCATTTTTAAGCATTATTATACAACTGTCTATCTTTGTGTATATATGCCCTAAAGTGTCTCGTAATGTGTGTCTGTGGGTGTATCACCCTCGTGGTTTGGCCCTATACGAGTATGTTGGTTTCTGCGGCATACGCCTAGATGATGTGGGTTGGGGCTTATCTATTATTTTGGAGGATACAATAATGTGAACCAAGGTTTCCATATTTGTTCCGTTCATTTCGCTTTCTCGTGGGAATCGGAAGAAAGCATCTCGTATCTATAATATTGGTATAATTTGTCTAGTAGTTCTTTACGTGATGGACAGTATGTGCTTTTCCAGTGTTGGGCCAAAAGATTCATAGCTGCCAGTATAACAAGGGAGGCTAATTTCTTAGTCGCTTTCTTCCACATATTTGGGAAGAGCAATATGAGTGCCACCAGTGGCGTAAGGGGTGTCAGCCCAGCGTTTTCTTAAATATTTGTTGGACCTGTAACCATAGGGGTCTAATCGTATCACACTCCCACCAAATGTGGATCATGGTGCCCTTGTCTGAGCCACATATCCAGCATTGGGGGCTTAGTACTGGGTATATTTGATGGAGTCTCTGTGGTGTCAGGT